CGGACAGGGCCAATCCTGCACCCATCACATCACGGAAGAGAGTGGGCTCGTGTTTTATATCTGCCACACGCACTGCACCTGCGCCTGGGGCACAGCTGGGCAAGGTAGTTGCCTGTGAATACCAAGGTGCTGATTTCAAGTTGCTTATCTTTAGGGTACCTTGGCCCTTTTTATTTTTATTGATTTCAGAGAGGAAGGGTGAGGGAGAGAAACATCAATGATGAGAATCATTGATCAGCTGCCTCCTGCACACCCCACATTGTGAATCGAGCTTGCAACCCCGGCTTGTGCCCAGACGGGAATTGAACCATGCCCTCCTGGTTCGTCAGTGGATGCTCAACCAGGGAACCACACCAGCTGGCCCCTTGGCCCTTTTTGAGAAAGGCTTTGTGCCTACCAGTCTCTTAAGTCCATGTTCCCAGGCCTCCCCCTTCCCAGAGTCATTCACCACGTTTCCTCCCAGGATCACTGGGGCGATAGGCATTTGCCCATCTATGGAAAGGGGGCCTGGGAAAAGGTGGAACCTGGGTGGGCCCCCTGAAGCAGGGATTTTGTTGTCTTCATATAGCAAATTCGTATCACAGGCCGAGTCAAACAGGCGCTAAAACATGAAAGACAGTCTCCACACACCTGCGGTCCTCCGCCCTGCCTGGTCCCAGCGGCAAGCAGAGGTGGCTCTCCCACTGGCTGCACACCAGCCAGAATCACGGGGATGCTGTTACAGCCCTCAAACCCGTGCCTGGACCCCACCTCACACCCGTTGAACCCATCACTGGGAGTGTATCAGCGGTTTTTAAAACATCTTTCTGATGTGCAGCCTGGGTGGCATGGCACTGCTCTGGCCCATTTAAGAACTTAAGGAAGATGCCCAGGCCTCTCTGTGCATGGAGACCCTCCCAGCCGGCACGGGAGTCTGTCCTGAAGTCAGCTGGGAGCAGACAGGGAGGCGTCACAGAATGCAAAGCGTGAACAAGGGTTCCCGAGAAAAAAGTGCCCCTGGAAATTACACACAGGACAATTTGGGCGCGTGTCAGAGTCGATGACATGACGGGTTGGGGGGTTTTGCCTCCAACAGCTGGGAGAATAGTAGGCATTTCTGCTGAGAGAGGAGCTCTGGTGAGGGGTGGGTGAGCTGGAGGAAAAGTTGGGGTTTGGCCATGTTGGGTGAAATGTGACATCCAAGTGAAGGTGCTGACACATAGGGCTTGACCTGAGCGGGGAGCGGGCGAGGGAGGCCTTGGATCTGGGTGGGTTGAGTGTACACAGAGCAGGGCAGTGACATTCTACCCTCACATCTGGGTCTTGACCAAAGGAGCTGCGGGGAAGTAGAACACGGGGTCGTGGGGGCCCCTGGGAACCGAGGGGAGCAGCATCCCCTGCTGAGGAGGGGAGGGTCGAGAGGGGACGGCGGGGTTGGGCGGTTCCTGGAGGGGGGTGAAGGCAGGAAGGCGTGCAAGTGGGTCAGAGCTGGTGTTCTGGTCTGGGGAGTAGACAGGTGACAACTAGAGGGGACTTGGGTTAGGACATTGCTGCGTCTCCCTTCAAGGGCGGAGGGAGGGCGGACGTTCTGCGCTAGAGCTCCCACTGCAGAGCAGGCCCGGTCCC